GGGGGCTGGCTGGGGAGGGGGCCAGGACTCTCTGACGCACCGTTGTAGACGCAGCCGTGGGGCAAGGAGAAGTCGTCCACTCGGAAGAGCCAGCGGCCCGGGAGCCCCACATTGCTGGTGGCGCCGACATGGGCGATGGCTGGGGTGCGTGAGCCGGGCAGGCTGAAGTACAGCCGTGAGCCCCCACTGTTGAACCCAGCCTGGGGGGGAGATGCGTTAGCCCCCCAGGTAGAAGCCAGCCCCCCACCTCTGAGCGCCCTCTCCCTGTGGGGAGGGGCGGGTTAAATCCATGACCTCACACGTTCCTTGTTCCTCTCCCACCTCCAACTCCTGGCCCATACAGTGCCACCCACCTGGGCGGGGATGCCCCCCAGGCCACTGCGGGGGTCCCCCCCGCTGCCTGCCCCCGTGGTCCATTGGATGTCCCCGTAGTTGAGGATGATGAAGGAGAGTCGTCCGTCGCTGACCAGCATTGCCTGGAAGGTGTTGACCTGAGAAAAGTCGGTCCCCGAGGTGGGGGGCAGACAGTGAGAATTACCCCAGATTAACCCAGGGGATGAGGACACACAGCCCGTGCCTGGCAAGGGCTGGCAGGGCCCAGGCACTCCCTGTTGTCATCTGGCAGCTGAGATCTGCAGGACCGGACCAGGAGTCTGGGCGCCCTGCCGTGTTCATGCTCCTTCCACCCTCCTCCCCGCCCAGATCGGGAGAGCGCCCCCGTGTCCGGACTCCCAGCCCCCGCCCCCCGCCCAGATCTGCAAACAACCCGGCATTCGGGCCCCGCACCTTGGCGACGGTGGCCCCGTAGAAGGCCACACGGTCCCAGGTAGCCACGAAGACCCAGGCGGCAGTGAAGGGCAGGTGGGGGAAGGCAGCGCCCACATCAGCCGTGGCGCGGGCCAAGATCCCAGGGGCACGAGACTGGCGGTACAGCACCCGGCCCGCCACCCGCACATCCACGTCCGCCCAGAATGGGGCCACAAGGGCGCGGCCGTCGGGCAGTGGGAACGGGTCGGACGTGTACTGGGTCTCGGGCGCCCCGAAGGACACCAGTCCATTGTTGTTCACCTGCGGGCACCAGCAAAGGGAGGGCGGTGTGGGGAACTCAGGCATGCAGGCTCCCTGTGCAGCCCTCGTGCTCCTCCCAGAGAAGCCGGATGTCCGGGCTCCCAGGCCCCACTGCATCCCCAGAGGACATACAGCCCCCCAGATGCCCCTCTGCCACCGCCCCCCCCAGGGACACAGGTGTCTGGGACTCACGTAGAGGGTGTGGTAGGTGCGGCGGTAGAAGTGGAAGGGCACAGAGAGTGGCACGGGCGGGGATGCCCCATCGTCAGCAAGCGGCGTGCGGCGATCCCCGAGCTCCACACCGGATGGGTACAGCAAGGCAGCTGTGGGGGCGCGGGCGTGGGGTAGCTGCTCCCTCCCCAACCCTCCTGCCCCACATGGCCCGGTCCTGGGCCCATCACCCCTCCCTATCCGCCCGCCCATCCATCCAACCATCCATCCACCCATTCATTTGTCTATCCACCCACCCACCATATCTCCACCTGTCTGTCCTTCCGTCCATCTACTCATCTGTCATCATCCATCCATCCACCCAGCTCTGCATCCGTCTGTCCCGCCGTCCACCCATCTGTCCATGCATCCATCCACCCACCATCTCTCCATCTCTGCCTATCTGTTCGTCCACCCACCCACCCATCTGTCCATCCATCCATCCTTCCCTCCCTCCACCCAGAAGGGATGAACCCAATGCCTGGGCTCCCTCCCTGCTCTAGGAGGGGAGTACGACTGGGGCTGGTAGCTCGGACTCCT